TTATGCTGCGGGGCAACATATCATCACTGACGTAACATATAAAAATTATGGCAAAAAGAGGAAATTTTATATTTAGTGCAGAAATTCAGCGAGTAATTCGAGAAACGCCCAAAGAATCGTGTTGACAAAATACATGTTTACAGATGATCTGCTTGTCTCACTGAAAATTACCCTTAAGGGATCTAGTGTCATGATGACCTTAAGGGAGAAATGAAGGGCAAAATTACTTTGAAGAAAAAAAATTGAAATCGATAACACAACTTATTTTCGTACTTACATGCTTTTACTTATTACTATGTTGACTATACCTGAGCTATTAATTTGAGGTTAACTGGAGGATACATTATGCAAAAAATATGAAAGGACTTACCGGATACTCGGTATAATTGAGTACTTGTAAATTAGGACATCGCATCATACTGACATTAGGGAAGGCTTAAAAATCCTTTAAAACAATATCAATTACTAGTACTTCCATTTGGTAGAAAATTGGCCCGGAAATATTTGAAACAATCGACTCGTTTTCATTGAAAGTCACTAATCATGAGAGGTGTAACGCTGTACTGGGAGAGGAACTTTTGCAAACTCCAGTATCTAACGAAAACGGGGCCCATTAACGAATGAGTGAATCAGCTAGTATACTGCCCGACAGCATAATTGGGATAAGGTTTCCCAGTGGAAAGGAAGAGCAATATTAAGCGGAATAGAAGAAGCGGCCACGTTCCGTTGAATTGGTTGACAATTTCAAATACATGCGAGTACACAACAGACATCCTAATGCTCTGCTAGTGCTTCTGTTCGTGAAAACTAACAGCAGTGCAATGACAGTCAAGAATGTTCACGTGAATAAACTCTTATTTAGCCGAGAACTACAGCTACAATGGGGCTAGTCAAAACTTCCTCAGGCAGTTAAACTTAGTACATACACTTTTCCGACGCTGCAGAGTGATTATGCTCTCCATGCAGTACTGTAGTTTCTTGTAAGTTAGAAATCAGGGGGTGACAAAAATAACTACACTGGTGAAAAGGGGTTGTGAACCAAACAATTTTGTTCACCTCCGGAAGTAAGGTTAAGTAAACTAAAACTCACATTTTCAAATGGGCAGCATGCTACTCCTCCAGATTTAGAGGCGCATGGGGTTACTTGAGAATCGCATTCTTTCGATGGACTGGGAACGACTGGCGTCGTCGAGCTGACAATGTTAGCCTACAAAACAAAGTAAAACTAATAAAATTCAGGGGAAAAAGGCATTCGGAAAACAACACTCAGCAAGTAGTGAAACTTTGCAGCAAGGACAATCAAAATAACATGGAAACTTCGCAAACTTACTGACGGTGTTGTCAATATGCCTACGCTCGGTCCATTTGAATCCAGGCCCGCGCTCATGGCAGCACAGCTGCCATCAGCATTGCAAGTGCTACCTTGTGGGCAGCAAGTATCGGCACCAGAACAACACACGCCCTGGTTTTAATTATCAAAAAAAGTGAAGACATACATGTTCGACAGGACAGCACAAAAACTTTCCAAGAGTTTTTTCACAACACGTTCCAGAAGCGCAAAAATCAGAACATTTAAGGTCGCCACCACTACATGGACCTATGGTCCAGTAAAATATGGATATTATGAAGATTCCGACTCTCATTTTAAAGACAATAGGCTAAATTCGCAGAGCTACACACCACATTTAAAGTAAAGGCGAATACATCAGTGGCTCAAACAAACTCATATTATATGCTGGCAGCACATAAATTGAGAAGTGAATTTTGGAGTAGGGACGTTGAAGAAATAAAATCATGTGAGCTGTTTTTGTTACAAGAAAGAACCTTCTGATGATCTTATTAGGTTGACAACTTTCAACTCCATCCTAGCTTCATCAATGTTATATCGTCTTACCGCAATAGCAGTGCCAAAGGATAGAACGGTCCCAGTCGAACCAAATGATAGAGGCTACTAGGCCCCTTTAGCCTTTGGTACTAGTGCGCCGTGATTGCGTATATGGGCAGTATTCCGTGCGTTGGCTGGGGGAGGTTACAGGCCGTTATCGAAATCGATGGTCGAACACATACACACACAAGCCCTCCCCC